ATGCGCGCCCTTGCGAATAAGTCGCACTGCAGCTTTTCGACCTATGGGTTGAGGGGTGGTGTGCTGGCAGAGCGCGGCTACGGCGTAATGAACTTGCGGTTCCGACTGCGAGGTACCCTGTTCGGAAGGATCGCGCTCCACGGTAACAAAAGGCGCCTTATAAACGAGAGTCCCTTTGCGCAACCGCAGGGTGCACGACTCGAAACTAAGGACGCCCCCGTACCGCGAGAACGTAGAGGACCCTAAGATGTACGTGGCCGGAGCAGGCAACTCAGGCAACACGTACGGATGCACCGACAAACGCAAAGGTCCCACCGAAAGACGCAATGTAACCCGACCTAAGATAGCCTGCTTATCCCCATTCGCGAGCGTGACATGCGACCAGGAACAGGCACTAGGCGTCAACCCAAGCCGCTTCACCTCAGAGAGAGAGATAAAGTCGTCGCTGGCGCCAGAATCAGCGAGCGCGAGTAGAGTATCGCTGACGACGCGGACTTGGATAAGAGGCATCCTTGCACCTGGCAGAGCAGCAGACTGAGGAGAGAGCAGAAAAGCCGAAAGACGAGGTGAAGTGTCACGCAAAGCAACAGCGGGTCGCGGGGGATCATACCAAACGTCAAAGGCAGATGTTGACCCGGGAAACGGCACAGGCCGACCCTCCAGATCGAGCCCGTTGAACAGCGGTGTCCTGGGACTAAACTGCAGAACGCGCTGCATCCCGGCCAGCAGGGCCGAAGCACAGGTTGCGGTGTGGGTAGGTGTAATAACGCACGCTGCAGTTTCCGAGTGCTGACGTTTGCAGAGGTGGTACGCAGTCAGCTGCGCCTGCAACTCTGAAATAGAAGAGGGGAGGAAGAGAACCGTATGCCCACGTAGGTCGTTAGCAGAGAGAGACTGGGAACGCGGCACAAGCGGATTACACAAAGCATCCCCGTCACTCTTCGCAGAACGAGCATCAAACGTCAGCTTTCGTCCAATAGCTCGCTCAACCTGCGCTAACACAGAGGGCAGCAGTGCCCTGGAAGCCCGCATGGCAGGCAGCTCGGTCTCTACTTCTAACCCAGGAGGAGTCCCCTCCTCAGCGGCCTGGGCAACCCCCTACTTCTTCTTGGGCCACAACGGGCAAACCCCCGTCGAATGGCCATCCCCACAACGCATGCACTTATTCCTCTTCCTGCGCTCCTCCAGCTCTGCCTTAGTGCAGCAATACTTCTCTAGCCACTGGTCGTCGTCACGTTTGCGTTTCTGTCCCATCGGCTGACTAGGCCCGGCCTCGGAAGGACCCTGATTACTTCTAGGACCTTTTTGCTGCCACCGGCGCTGTTCCCGGGGACCCCCCCTCGGCTTACCGGCACCCGGGCCGGCAACTGTGCCACCCTCTCTGCGCTCAGGACCCCCGACAGCGACAGCAGCGCGAGGATCGGGTGCCGGCGCCTCAGCAGGGGCGCCAACCGGGTCCAGCCCCGGGGCCTGCGAAAAGAGGGCATTAGCACGGGGAGCAGAACGAGGAACTTGCTTTCGGGCATGGTGGCGCATTTCCACGCCCAAAGCAAAACGGTAAAGGTGGTTGTAAGAGGAAAACGGCATTCCTAAAAGGTCGGTAGCGCATTCGCCTATGAGTTCTTCAGATAGTCCGCGTTGAAACCAGAAAATTCTTTCTCCTTCTGTGAAGTCCGCAATAGGCGTAATAAGTGCCTCGAAACGCGACTGGTAGGAAGAGACGTTCTCGCCAGGGCGCATACGGTACGTACCACTCGCAAGAACGGAACGAGCCTCCACGTCGCGGGGCACGACTTCAGGAGCAAAACGGGCAAGTAACGCAGTAAACAGCTCGTCCGAAGTGAACGAAATCCGTGCCGTTGACCACTGATCATACCAGGCTTTGGCGGCACCGTCCAAAGCGTTGGCGATGAACAGGCAACGAACCGGCTCCCGATCACCACCTCGAACCAGCTGGAGATACTGCTTAACATCCCTAACGAATGCACGCGTACTAACCGCCGTAGCACGACCTAAATCACGAGTTCGAGGGTCGGTAGAAAAATTCAACCTAGGTACTGGGACGGAAAGTCTAAGTACCTCGACGTCCTGCACCGGTAAGGATGCAGCAGCCGTGGGAGCCCTTTCTGCGCCGCCAGCGCCGTGTGCGGAGGAGGCTACAAGCATCGGCGGTGGCGGAACAGCGGCGATAGGTGTGGGATCCTGTGCTACAGGAGGCACTGGGATAGCGGCAGGGTTAATAGGAACTACCGGGGCAGCGATAGGGACTGTCCGTGCGGGACCACCCTCAACGACTACATCCGGCGGACCCCAGCGATTTCGCCTAACCCCATCCGCTACGTTCCAGGAAGGGGGAACTACACTTAAAGCTCCCTGCTGACCATCCCCGAGGACAGGTAGAGGCGCGTTTCCGGAGTTGGCAGGCAACATGACGAAGCGATCCAACCCGAAAAGCGAAGTAAAAGAGGTAGCTAAGGTAACCCTACCGAAAAGTAAGACTTCCTCAGCACAGCGATGGACTGCCTCGATTGCTTGCAATGCACCACGGGAGAGGTGCACAAGCTCGCGCAAGCGAGGGATCGCAGCAGAGGTAGGGATAGCAGAACCCGCTACGACGAGAGGGCCTGCAAATCTAAAAACAGTTAGGGGAGCGAAATCTAAGGTTACTTCACTAAAAGGTAGGACGAATCTACCAACCCGCGGATGCGGCGGCAGCCATCACCGCATTGCCGAGGTCAGCAGCGAAAGTCGCCAAGGGGCCGAAATCTTCCGAATCAGCCGATGTAACCTCTTCACTAGGGAAGTTCATACTAGTGCCAAATGAAAGAAAGAGTGCGGAAGCGGAGATGAGACTGGTCCGTAAGGAACCCGTCTCGATACCAGATTTGTTGTAGTCTTCAGACGACACAACCACATAATGGGGGCATCGAAAGATACCGATTGAGACAAGTGTCTTGAATAAGTAGTCATCAGTGACTCCACTTGGGCCTCGCGCCGATAAGGATTCCCAGTACGACTGGGCGGCACCGAATCCAGAAGCCATAGTTCGCAGGAACTACTCTCGCTCGGTCAGACGAAACTGGGACGCAGGTCCCAGCTTTACGTAAGTAAAACCCCCGCCCATACGTAGGTATGGACTTCCGCAGTGGTGCGGCATTAAGGTGGCGGACGACTAACAGTAGTCGCTTAGCCGCCGTCGCCCATACACTTCCGCAGCAGTGCGGCACTTGAATGGCGGACGACTAACAGTAGTCGTGTTACCCGCCGGCGCCTATGGACTTCCGCAACAGTGCGGCATTTGGATGGCGGACGACTAACAGTAGTCGCTTAGCCGCCGTCGCCCATGCACTTCCGCAACAGTGCGGCACTTGAATGGCGGACGACTAACAGTAGTCGTTTGATCCGCCGGCGCCCATGGACTTCCGCAACAGTGCGGCATTTAGATGGCGGACGACTAACAGTAGTCGCTTAGCCGCCGCAGCTAACAGTAGCCGCAATTAAACTAATATCAGTATTAGTTAATACCTGTAATCACCAACCGCGGAATTGACGGGAGTTAGTTAGTAATATTGGAGTTTGGTAAATCGGAGTGGACGAGCTAACCACCGACAGTTAGGATTCGGCACCCAAACCGTTGCGGGAAACCTTTACAGGATACAACATGGCCTGCTGGCCATACAGACTGCTGCAAACTGGGCCGAGCGGGACTAGCCGGGCAGGTGGGAGAAAGTCACAGCAAACAGAGCTTCTGTTAGTGTAGGCAGAATGCCGAACTACAAGAGCGAATAGCTAAGGGTAGTTGTACGATGTCGGGTGATCGGTGTCACCGGGACCAACTAACTGACAAGCCGACAGGCTACCGTTCAGAACCAAACTTAGAAGCTCTAGCCGCTTCTCATCTGCCGCGTCAAAGTAACAATCCTTGTGGCTGGTTACCAAGCTGGGTTGAAAATAGAGCTATCCTAGATTCATGGCCATGCATGTGGGTGGAAAAGGTTTTTCATTGGCCCTTAAGAGCCTGGCTATCTTGACTGATTCTTTCAGAAGGTGCGTCAGTAAAATGTTTGCTCAGCTATAGATGCCCTTGTGTAATAAACTTTCACAAACTTAGATCCAGCTATGCAATATGTATACAAATACTGGTAGTATTCCGTAGGTGGATGCAGAAGTGTGGCTGCTGCTGAAGGGATCCCTCCAACGCGTCCGTATCCGGATACGGATGTGTTAAGTAATTAAAAAAAAACTGTCATCACATGTATATACTGGTGATAAACACCCTCCAATATTTATATGACAACAAGGAGGATGGGCCAAAAATCAGGGATAAAAGGGGGCCTACCAATCCGTAAAGTCAGGATCCTTCAAGCAGTCCATAAGTTGGTGGCTGGCTTACGGATACGTGTCTAATGCGTTTACGGATACATGCTGTTTTTATGGCGGAAGGGTCCTACCTCTCCGTGTTTGCATTACATCCGCCGAACTTGCTTCACACCATTACCATTTTTGTACCTCAATTAAGGATTGCGATGCTTTGTGTACACTATTTTGGCTTCCATACTTCTGACGTATTTTGGCTTCCGTATATTGGGTGTAGTAGCTTGCCGCTGAAAAGGCCTCTCGAGATGCTGGCGGTCGCGCTTAGCGCGTATTTGTATAGCCGTACTGTGTACCAGCTACTACATTTCCCCCCCCTTTGGACAGGATTCTTCACCAGGGTACCCAAAAATTTCGGTCGTGTCCGAAACCCTCTGAATAACCTTTCGGGGCGTTCCCCGAAAATTTTCCTGTCAGCCTGACAGTGTTTTCGGGTACCCCGAAACTGTCTGAAGCGGTTTTCGGGGTAAAATTTAGCTGGATTCTATCGTTATATGCTAGGATGGCTGATGTGTTTTATTTTGGAACATAGCGCCTGGGAGAAATATTTCAGCAAGGATTTTACCCAAAACCAAGGAGGCTCCTCATCCACCTCTGCAGCAATCGCCTCCACCACACCTGCCACATCATCTCTTTTTTTTCCTCAGACGGTTACACCTCATCACTTGCCACACTCTCGACCTCCTCGTTATCAGAAGGGTAGTAGGCCTCAGCAATTTCACTCCCCACACTGCCCTCATCATCACTCTCATCAGGCAGAACACAGTCGCCCACCTTGGCAATACGGTGCAGGAGCCCATCCGGATTCTTTGCAACATACTCCACAGCAGCTTTTATCACAAGGGGTTTGCATTTCATATCCATGGTTGGACAAAGTAATCCAACACGCAGAAGGGAATTAATGAACGGGACAGACAGCCGTGGAATTCCCAGAGCTGCGAAACCCTGAAGGCGGCCCCAAAAGTCAGCAATAACTCGACAAATGGCTGCTTCCGTAAGGGAAGAACCAGGTAACAGTGCCGGGTTAGTTTTCATGTTTGCAACCATATATCGCCTCCCATGCTCCATGGCTGACACCGCAGCAATTTGTACTTGTTGATGTTGTTACAGGGTGGTTAAGCTTCACTTGTTGTTTGACTGGTGACCAAGCGGGCCTTATACAGCAAGCCCGGTTTCCATGCCCCGTCTGCACCCGAAAACATTTAAATTTACGCTGAAATATCGTTCGGTTTTCTCCGTAAATGCCTTCAATAGGCTTCGGTGGGGTCCCCGAAAAAATGCTCCAAAAGGCCAAAAATCCGTTCGGAATGCTCCAGGGCGCACTAATTTTCCTTTCGGGCAAAACGGAAATATCTCAGAAAAGTTCGGGCCCGAATCGGGGTGAAGAACCCTGCCTTTGGAGGGATCCGTCTCGGGCCCTTCCGGCCACATACACCAACCTGTGCCTACCTCCGCCTACCCTTGGGCAGTGGGGTGTTCAATCCACGTCACGTCATGTGCCGCCCCTTCACATGCGCCTAGCCGTCTTAAGGTTTTTCAGTCAAAGAGACATTCCAGCCGATTCAACTACATTTGTCGCGGTAATCGTGCATTGAGTCACCAAACCCGATACTCTACCAAGCGTGCTTGATGGGGGTTGAAACTACGTCTCCTGGATTGTGATCTATCACGAGGAGTCGATACCAAGTGTAATAGCTGGCGGTTGAAAAGGCCTATCGAGCTGCTGGCAGTTGCACATATTCGTATATATACGACAGTATGGCTATATAGCCATACTGTGTACAAGCTACTACATTGGGCCAGCATTTACGGCGGACGGGCTGATCTGACCTGCAAGTATCATACTGTGACCTCCATGATGGTGATGAGTTTTTTCCCAATGCACATCCCCTTACAACTGTAGCATTATGCTTATCTGTACATGCTCCACAGGATATAGAAGATGGCAACCTGCATGTATGAGTATATGTTTTCTTCTTGCTCCGTTGGTTGCTTGCCTATTTCATACAGATTCCGTTTTTAGGCAAGCATTCGCCAAAAAGGCTGTTTATTACTGCATTGACCTGTTCTGGGGTCGGTTCGGCGGTGATTGGAAGGCGGTATACGCCCGGTGGAGCACTGCCCTGGGTATTCCCGACTTGGACAAGAACGCCTGGGCGGACTCCTGCCCCAATAATCCTGGATACGATGAGCTGGGCAACCTTATGGCCTACAACACACCGGCATGCTTAGCTGCCCTTGGACATCTCACACCGGAGCAAGTCCAATTTGCCAAGTACAGGATGTCAGAATATAATCCTGTGATGTATGCATGGGCCCAGTACTACGCGTACAGAGCTTCTCCACCGCCGCCTCAGGCATCCCCGCCACCATTGCCTGCCAACACCAGTTGCATGGTGGGTGCTTCTTATAGCCATCGGTGGAGGCTACTACATACTTTTATTGCATGTTTTAATATGGGAAGAGAGCCCATTCTTGAAACCATGCTGCTAGTTTAGGACTTGCGTCACATTATCGATATTTTAATATCCAACATGGATTTTATATGGCAAACAGACGCTTAAATAGTCCTACGCAGCTAGAAGTGAGAGGAAACTCCTACTGTTTGCTTCATTTGCTGTTCCATGCCTTTTATATGTCTGCTGTCTATCTGTGCACGCAGTTTACCGTGGAGTTCGGTTGCCCCTGCAATAGCAATTGGGTGTTCGAAGGCGAGACTTACTCTTACTGTGACCGTGTGCCTGGATACGAGACGTTAATGTGAGTTAGCGCAAATTCAGATCGGAGCATCCATCCATGTGGGAACGCCATGCCACGTGAAGGAAGACAGTCTTACTGAGACATGCTTGGCTCTGGATGGTGCGCTTTCAGAATGTGCATGCACCTTCTTGTATATTTATGTATGTATATGGGCGGCACGACTTCACGTGAGAGGAGATTTCAGTAATATTCTAAGAAGCATCCAAACATGCATGTACGCTCTACTGTCTGCAGTACCCATCACGTGAAAGTCGTCTGGCTGTGGCACTTTTGCTCTGGCTGTTTGTTTGCACAATATGTTCATTGGTGTTGTAATGTAGCTATGCATAGCTAATATTACATGCGCCCGTATGTTCTTGGCCATGATGGTCTTTTCCATGGAAAAGACCATCATGCTTACTACGCGCTAAGGCGCTCCACCAGCATATTACAATATTGTAGTAGCTGGTGGCTGAAAAGGCCTATCAAGATGCTGGTGGAGGACCTTAGCGTGTACTTGTATACATGTTGCTAGACGATACTTCAGCAGCCATGGATCTGCATTTAACTTGACTTGGCTATACCTACCTTATCGAGCTTTACCATAAAACAATGTGATAGGTATTGAATTCACTTGCGCCATCCTGCTGCTGCTGGGCACGCTCCTTTTATTTCCATTACGGTTGCGTGTGTTGGCGGGTCTACTGCAGTGCTCGCTGTTAGCGAATGCCATGCTGAATTATCTGCATGCATAATTAATTAAATGCTGTACTTCTAAGAAATCATGCATACATGGAATAGCCAAAGTCCTTTGCTGTTTCTCCACGTAGCTTATAAATTAGGAACATGTACACACGCACATACAGATAGACAAACACGCTTGTTGCACGCATATATTTCCATGTACATTTATCCAAGCATAGGGATCCCTTGCAGGTGTATGGTGGCCGACCCTAGCAGCTGCATCTCCTGCAGTAAGAGTCCTTGCTTGCTAAGCTGTGCCGGTAGGTGCCTGTTTCCATTTATTCAGTGCTTCACTACGGTAGTAGCTGGCCGCTTTTAAGGCCTCTCGAGAGGCTGGTGGAGCACCTTAGCGTGTATTTGTATACGACATGTCGGCCAATCGAAATATCACGTATGATAATTAACACTTAGATCGCTTGATTCATTTTCGACAGGAATGACTGAACTTGCTGCTCTATGCTTGCTTGTTAGTTTTATTATACATGTCGGCATGACCAGTCCTTATAATGCAAGTCAAGGTGTAGTGCACACAAACATTCCCGAATACAGCGGTATGACCAGTTCATATACAGAGCTGCTGCTGCCTGCTGCAAGCAGGCATACATGCC